TGGAGGAAGTAAGCCCATGCGAAAAAATCATCAATGGCCAATAGTACTCATTTTACTTGCCGCATACGATCAAGACTTTCCGCGAATTATTTTCTGAAAATCCCCATATAACTTAGGGGTGCTTTAATATACCCTTCGTTTATTAAAGTGGGCCCAGTGCGCGAGCAATCTAAATGATATCTCACAGATACAAATCCCACGAAGGGTAAATTATGGCCCAGATCACAACGTCGAACGGCTTTTGTGACGCATCTGAAAAGGAATATTGTGCCACTATATACGTTCGCACACAAAGCGACACTGCGACCACAAGCCACTTACTAGTAGCAAAAACCAAAGGTGGCTCCTTTAAAAACAATAAGTCTACCAAGACTTGAACTATGTGGAGCGCTACTACTAGCCAAACTAGTGTCCATCGTACAAACGCATTTAAACGTGACACAATTTAAATTATATCTATGGTCAGAATCCGAAATTGTACTAGCCTGGTTAAAAAATCACCACTTGCATGGAAGACGTATATTTCCAATCGAACGTCTCAAAAACTTGACCTAATAGGATCCGCCACTTGGCGACACGTACCCAGTGCTGACAATCCTGCCGATCTAGGTACAAGAGCAAGCCACTGCATCTTGCCACCACCACCCTCTAGTGGAATGGCCCCGATGGTGATTCTGTTAACCCGGTTCTTGGCCACAAGCACCCACTCTTTCTCTGCAACATGTGATGATACTGAGTAGATACAGAGTAGTTGCCTACATGATCAAATTTATAGAGCAACTAAATATTAACTTCAAACTACGGACTACTTTAATATACGGAACACCTCCAATATACCCCCAATGCGATACATTAACACACCTACACTTACAAAAAGCAAAATACGCTCTTATCGTATCCATTCAAGCGTGCTATTTTAGCAGAGAAATATCATTGTTAAAAGACTCGAAGCCTCGAAGATTGATAAAAAGCGCTCACTTTTAGTACTAAATCCATTTCTAGACACAAAGGGTCTGCTTCGTTCGAGTGGTCGGCCTGTCAACTCCAGCCTGACATACAACGAACGCCATCTCATAATCATACCAGTAAAGGCACGGCTTGCCACGTTACATCTCTATTATGTTCACATACTAATGCTACACGCTGAGCACCGCCTCATGCAACAAATATTCCGCCAAGAGTTTTATATGCCCCGTGCTAAGCCTCAAATAGAGAAGTGCAGTTACATGTGCAAAGTTTGCACAACGTACAATCAAAAAATGCGAATATAGATAATGACAGCACTTCCAACTGAACGCTGCAACTTCGCTCTGCCCTTCACAATCGATGTCGATTTTGCTGGGCCTCGCTCGCTTCCTACTTCCTTGAATCAAAATTCCCCATCACAATTTCAGCCGCCGATGGAAAGAAGATTATCTAAAGGATCTCCACAAGAGGTACCGCTGGAAAGCTCCAGAAAAAGCGACAAAGTTTGAAAATTGCGTGCTAGTACACGATGATTGTCCCCCCTACCAAATGGCGGCTTGCGTAGAAAACTTTCACCATGGTTCCGACGGTCACATCCGAGTAGTCGATCTCCGTACGCAAACCGGAACACTAACTAGACCGCTCGTAAAGCTATGCATATAATTAATTATGGCCGGAGATGCACCAACGCCAACGATAGCAATGCGTTCGGCCGTTAATGTGCCGCGCCCTGGGGCAAATCCAGTACCCCGAACTACGGCTATCACAGCCCCACCAATCGCTACTCGTGGTGGCACGCCCCCACTAACCACATCACATCACCGTCCACGGAGCAGCACCGCTTCCGATGCCCGCTATGTCGTCGCCCACACCGGTTGCAACATTGCGGCATATTCGAAGGTATGACACCCATGCAACGGTAACAAATCGCCCAGGAACATGGACTCTGCCTGAATTGTTCGGCGCACACCTATGCAAAAACCGCTTGTGAGTCAAATGTGCGGTAAGCCACATCCCACACTTCTTCACCGTACCGCGAGGCGCGACTGTGGTCGACCAACTGCCTCCTTATGCCGCGGCGCAGTCAGCCGACCCCAAAGGAACGCATCAGCACCCCCTCCGCAAACGCGTTCCTGGCGTCAACGCAACGGAACAGTGACGAGGCGCAGCCAACTTAGGTCGCAACCCTACCGTGCCACTGGGCTTAGCAACGTCGTAGCCACGCTGCAAAAACTTCAGCGTCTGCTAGGCTAATATTCACCTAGAGGGGCCGGGATGGTTAAATGAGCCTACGTTGCCCCGAAAACCATACACACAAACAAACCTCCCACATCAACAAGCACAATTTACATCGCACCTCACCGACTCGCAACATTCACCACATCACCTCATACAACGACACCACCATCCAGGATAACCCAACACACCTGTCGATCATCCCACCAACCATCAACAAAACCATCGCGAAACTGATCCGGTCAATTTAACTTTATTTTATACTCATACATACACATAGCCAATAAAGTCTGCGTTCACCCGACACATTTTTGTAAGTGAAGTAAAAACACAATTTAAGAGGGAATTCAGTTTAAATTTTCTACATGTATTTCTTCTTTCTATTCTTAAGTTCAAAATGCGAAACAAAAATGTATATTCCTATTTTCATTTTTGTGATAACGGGATTTTAGTGTAAGAACAAGTAAAAATAGGCACCATTAAGTCTGCGTTCAGTTAGCTTGAATTGGAAATACCGTTACTTCTCATGAATTCGTTAGTTCTTTTTGCGTAGATTCTGTTGTGTTTTAATATAATTAGTCGTTTAAAGAGCTCGTGATGCGTTTTAATAATATTTAAAAAATGGAAACCAAAGGAAAAGAAATTAGTCTGACGGAAAGAAAAATTAAAGTTTCAGAAAAATTGGGCAAACTATTGGAAGAACGTCTTCTTTTGCTCAGCGCGTCGTAAACAATTTAAAAAAAAAACTGGAATTTTAACGTCAAAACTGCGATCTGGTTATCCGAAAATATTATCAGCCCGGGAAGAACAGAAAATAATAAATATGGTGAAAGTTAACCCTCGAATTATGTCCACAAAGATTATTGAAAACGTAAATATAACCATTAAAAAAACAATTTGTGCCGAAATTGCTAGAAAAATTTTAGGAAAAGCTGGATATCATGGTAGAGTCGTTCGAAAGAAACCATATATTGTATGGCGCGAAAGCGCATTGAATTGGGTCATAATTATATAAATAAGTCGCCGGAGTTCTGGAGACAAGTAATATTTTCGGATAAAAGTAAATTTTGCATTTTTGGCATAAAACGTCGACAAATTCTGTGGCGCAAGTCAGGAACTGCCCTTGAAAAGCAAGATCTTGTTGCTACAGTTAAACACGGAAGTGGCGGAATTATGGCGTGGGGTTACATGGCGGCTGGTGGTGTGGGTCAGCTTGAATTTATTAAATCCACAATGGATAAATGGAGTTATTTGAAAATTTTAAAAAACAATTTGAAACAAAGTGCAGAGAATCTTGGATTATCTTTGACGTTTTGGTTCCAACAAGATAATGACCCGAAGTATACTGCGGAAATAGTTAGTCTTTGGCTCTTGTACAATGCTCCTAGACAACTTAAAGCGTCCCCTCAATCACCTAACCTCAATCCTATAGAGCATCTATTTTTAATACTTTTGTAACTAATTTTAAAGCTGAACGCAGACTTAAAAAGTTTGAAGACAAACATACAATTATGTATATGGTTAATATCCCATACATGATCTTATTTATTAAAATAGATGTTTGAAAATCCTGATATTAGTTTAATAGGGGTAGTACAAGTTTAAACCCGATTTTATCCATTTTAAGTACAGAGATCCACCGATAGGGGAAAAACACGCTCATTCAATTTAATTAAGATAAGATTAGATGAGGAGGCTATGAGGAATCTTGACTCGATTCAACCAATATTTGACATACAGACATATTATTATGAAGAAATAATTCTTTCCTAATTTCAATAATATGTGTACATATCTCACGCATTGACCGATATTTTCGTACATATTCAGACGATTTATTAAGTGGTATTTGTTGTATACTGGAAAGTGAAAATATTAGATGGAATTTAAAGCTGTGTTATATGGGAGGTAGGCGTGGTTGTAGTCCGATTTCCATTTTTCACTTATACACAGAAGTGCCCCTCCTTATTTTGATTCGTTGTGCCAAATTTGAGTTCTATATCTTGATTTACGGCTTAGTTATGGCACTTTATACGTTTTCGATTAATGACGTTTGTGGGCGTGGTCCGATCACGCCCATCTAAAAATTCGTCCTTACTTTGTGTACCAAGTTTCATCAAGATATCTCAATTTTAACTCAAGTTACAGCTTACACCTATAGAGGGATTAAAGGACGAACAGACAGTCACCCGGATTTCAATTCTTCTCGTCACCCTGATCAGATATAACTCCATATCTATTTCGATCAGTTTTAGGTGCTACAAACAACCGTTGGGTGAATATATATATATGTATGTGCATATAACGGCCCCCTTTCCATTAAATCAGTTTCTGTTTTACTGTGATATCTATGTATGTACTTATATTAAATTCAAATGAAGTTACATACAAAATGGTCCGAAATTTGAGTTGTTGCGAGCAAATTTAATTCGTTGTTCGATCAATATCGATATATCATATAAAAATAAATAATAGAAACCGGAATTCCTACTTCAATTGTAAACGGTCTTGTGAATTATTAGTAATAAAATTTACTTATAGAGTTTAAATGTATAGGTGAGAAATGTTTAAAGAAAGGTGAAGTCGATATTAAGAATTCAAAAAATGCGAGAATTGCATAAGAAATATTTGGTTTATTTAACAACGCGATGTCTTAGATAGGATCCAAGTCTGTCCGAGCAGGAAATTGCTTCTGTCAATACTATCAAATCAGCAATTCACTTTTGGAATCCGGAAAAGTTCTTATAAAAATTTATTTCACAATACTGTACATTTTTTGTGAGAGAATTTATACTCACACAATATTATTATGCCATGCGTAGTTTTCTGCGAATGCCTTAAATTGGTTTCAGTATGGAAAATGTTATAATCTGCTCTCTTAGACAGGGCTTACACAAGGACTCCTTTGTCGCTCTTTATCGGCAAATTCTCTTCGCTCATTGCGTTCACACGAGCAACATAAGTCTGGCACTTGAGTAGGCAATTTTCTGCATTCCCTTTCATATCATATTCTCAACTTCTTGGACACTTCATGAACGCTGTGCACAAAAATATTTTTTATTAGCTACTTTTAATCCTTATTCATTAATTTTTAAAATAATTTCTAAAATGTACATTTCTTATAGTATTGGAAATACAGGGTGACTCACGAACGGTCCGACAATACACATTGATGAAACTGCACACTACACTGGGATTCGTTTTTGATGAAGTTCCGTCTCTTAGATTATTTTTGGACTTGATTCACTCCATATACGGCAATTTTTCTTGTTTACATTTTCGTTTAGATCAAAAAGACATAAACAGTCAAGTAATTGTATTCTTCGGCCATTTCAATAATTTTTTGGATAATACTCTTGGATTTGCCTGTATTGACGATGCAACAGCCGCGATTGTTTCTTAAACACAAACATACGGATCTCGATGGTACGATCTTTCTGCAATACTTCCAGATTCGGCAAACATGTTTACCAACCTCATACAACAAATCAATTAAAGAGACTGCAGGGTGATTCAAAAATAATAAGATTTTAATACAAATTTTTTTAATGGCAAATAAAAGTATAGAGTTTAATACAAATTTTATTAATAAAAAATAAATTATTCAATATTCGGAGTTATAACATTAGTATCATTATTATTATTTTGGTAAATAGCCATCCCACATTTTGGAACAGTATCTTGTTTGACTTGAACAATACAATTGAAATTAGGTGTTTCAATCGGATTATCTATGGTAATAAATTTCCACTTATCGTGGCTGGCGACTTGACACATTTTCTGAATGTGAAAATGAATAATGATCCACAACAATCCACAACAAAATATGGGACCACCATTGACGCCGTATTTTCCAGATATTTAGAGAATATCAAGTCTTAAATTTATGTTTCTTATTTCAGTTACCATAAACCTATAGTTTCAATGATAAAAATTCCTTATCTTCCTTTCTTATTTCAGTTAAAATAAACCTATAGTTTCAATGATAAAAATTCCTAAATAATCTACATGTATTGTAAGATAATAAAAATATTTTAAACAATATTAACTTCTCGATTATTCAATAAAACAAAAAATTGTTTTCTTATCGATCACCGCGCTCAACAAGTGTAACTTGAATTACTATCAAAGAAAAAAAAACTGCATAATAAATAATTATAATTGCATAACTTAATAAAAAAATACTATGCAGTAGCTTTACCGCGGCAGTCCCCGAATGCCACACGCACTTTTTTATTTTATTTTATCTTTTATGATATCCTTCCTCGTTCCCTGTTCCTTGCTGTTGTTGGTTCTTTTCCGTTGTGGTTATTTTTGTTACTGTTTATTATTAGTCCAACTAATTTAGACATTTGAAGTTACATAAATTCACAACAAGCTGAAAGTTAGTGAGATCGTTTAAAATATAAATATAAATAAAATTTCAAAGTTCCCCATCTTTTCCCTGTATAGAAAAAATTCAAAAATTGCGATTTTCAGCAAAACGGTAACGGTAAGTTGCAAAATATCGAAAATTGGCAAAGACTGCGAATGATATAAGCGATCCATGCTGCGTGCAAGCAAATTGCGTCAATAGCTATGTATATGCAATAGAAGACTTCCTAGTATAATTTTTAAGGCAACTTTCATGTATTGGCACAGATTTCCGATCTTTAAGATATTCCGAAAATTCATCGACTCTTTCGATACTTGTATTAATTCATGTCCTCATACCCCCTTCAAAAGTAGTAACTTCACTTTCACATAATAGTTTAGCACAAATAAAAGAATATTTAGACATTTTTATTATAAAACTCAAAAAAAGAGCACGATATAGGTTAGAATAAACACGTGTTTTCACTAGAGCGTAGTTTTCAAGACTGACGGTATTTCAGAGGTAGGTATAAGATAGCCCGCAAGTTAACGGCAGCCTCCACACAGTAGCTTTACGCTAATTATAAACAAAACTGTATCTTTGCACTTAGCAATAATACAGCTTCTTAATAAGCATCTTTGCTTATTTAAGTAACCAATATTCTTTTTCATTAAGCTAAGACCACACATAAAATGTAAACAATAAAACCAATACTGAATAAGCGAATATTGTAACTGACATTTATTGTAAGAATTAAGCATATACGAAAATTGTATAAATAAGAGTAAATTGAAATAAAGAGATCAGTTATCCATCAGGAGAAGGAAGTTAATTCGCATACTGTTGAACAGGAGCCAGATGTTCTCTGAGGGTCACAATGGCGTATAACTTAAGGGACTGGGTTTCTTACTACCTGATATTCTTATGATTATAGCTTATATTGTTTGCTTTGCGGTGGTTAGCCTTAAGACAACCACTTACTTGGATCATAATCATAAGTTTTTAAACATTGTCTTGGAAACATCGCTTTACCTACTGTGTGATAAAACTGGCTTAAAATTAGTTCAAAAAGAAAACTAACAATACTCACTTTTTTGGACCAATCCTTCGGACGCATGCATATTATAACGATTACAACTTTTCTAAATTTTTTAATCGTTATATCTCCGAAACAGTGGTACGTAGAAAAAAGAATTAAAAATTTTTTTATAGATAATTTTATAATCTATATTTTAGGTCCGGGATATTTTTATGATAAAACTTACCGTTTCGCTGAAAATCACACAAAAACCCCCAAAAAAATCATATATTTTACCTTTGACCTTGAATAGAATTTTTTCCATACAGGGGAAAGATGGAGAACTTTACAATTTTATTTATAATTATATTTTAAATGATCTCTCCAATTTTCAGCTTGGTATGCATTTATGTAACTTCACTCTCATATTTTGGTCTAATTTGACCGGACTATAAATCGCGCCCGCTTTGAGTTTTACTGATTTTGGTTTTGTATTTTAGTTGATTTCGCGCCCGTTTATGATAATTTGTTTAATTCTTACAGGGTTTTTTTCCTTTTTTTCACGATTCATTTTATATGTCACTTTATGGTTTTTGTTTTTGCCCTAAGACACTTGTTTGATCCGTTAGTCCACTGTATATATGTAGATAAGTATTATGTATTATAATATTTTCATTTTTTCATAATCTCCATAGAACTTTACTCGTACATATTTTTCCTTTTTCACTTTTTAATAAAATTGTTTTTTTTTTGTTTTCACCATAAGTGCCTATCAGAAAGGCTCAAAGGACCAATGTATGCTCACTCACTTCCACTTAATACTCGTGCCGTTAACATTTTCGATTTTATACTTTTATTTTGCAAACTGGTGTTTTATACTCATTTATTTAACAACTTTTAGTTTATAATCTTGTAACTTACCATAGTTTATTTCACAAATTTTAGTTTATAATCTTATTATTTACAATATTTCATTCAACAATCCTTTACGTTTAATTATTAGTTCACTTGAAAGAGTGTACGACATGCGGTTTGTCTCGGACGGTGATCAGCACGTCCGACTGCGCAGAAATCGAAAAAAATTTCCAGTGAGTGCTTTAATGCTGAAAAAAGGGCGAAAACCTCCAATCAAAATTAAAGGACAACAAAGCTGATGTTTATGCTAGTGCTGGATGTCTTCAAAAAGCCGCTTGGAGTCGGCAGGGAAGAAAGCGTAACTACCATAAAAAAAAATTTGGAAATTTTTCTTTTTTCATTTTGCGGAAAACGATGATGATCCCAAAGATAGTATGCCGTTGGAGGTTTTAAAAGAAAATTCCTTTCACAGAAATGCTCAAAGATATGTAAGATATTGCAAATTTGTTTCTTATTTAAAATGTTATAGTGAATGTACATTACCAATTGCTCATGAATGGAACGTAGATATTAAGATAAATAATGCGGAACAAGAGGAGGAATCAGACGAAGATGAAGCAGATGACATTTTCAACAAAGCGGTACAGTGGGGTAGTCATGAAGACGTCGATCAAATCGACTGAATGTACAAATGTCTATGTTCTGCCAATAAAGAAAGCTGTATTTTAATTATTAGAAAAACAGAAAATGTAAAAAAAGATGACTGATTCTCTAAATGCCAGTTTTCTCAAACTCACATTTCCTATCATATATCTTAAGTACAAATTAGTATAATAATAATAATAACCCAACGATTACCCTCCTCCCGCCCAACCGACGCGAGGGGCGCAACCCGCATACGTGCGGAATTAGCCGAGTCAGAAAAGGCAAGAGAGTTTTTTAAGTGTTGAGATCTAAAACTGCTCAGCTACAGAAACAAAAATTTCAACAGCTAAGATCTAAAGTTACAATATAATAAATTGTTACATTTTCATTTATTAAGAGAAAACAGTAAAGTCTTTTTAATTTTGAAAAGTGAGTCAGATAAGTCGAATGTGCTGGAATGAGAATTAAAATCATGACATATACGGCGGAATGGCTCGTTTAGTTCAAAATTTGATCTACAGGATTTTAGCAGTAAAGGTCTAAACTGCCTCGAAAGTCGAACCGGGATATTAAATTTAATTTCAGACAGGAGAAAAGAACTGCAAACAGTTCCATTCAAAAGTTTCACTAAGAATGTTATGCCAAGCATTTCCCTACGGCTAGAAAGTGTAGGTAGATTAATAAGTTTTAAACGACTAGTGTATGGAGGTAGACTTACCCTAGCATCCCATCGGAAATGCGCTAAGGCCAAAAGTAAAAATTGTTTTTGAACCGACTCTAACTTGTCAGAATGGATTTGGTAGCTAGGGTTCCATACCACAGAGCCATATTCCAATATAGGTCTAACCAAAGTTGTATAAAGTGTTTTAGTAATATACGGATCTCTAAATTCTTTAGACCAACGTTTAACAAAACTGAGGACAGCTTTTGCTTTCAAGACCATGGTATCAATATAAAGACTGAAATTAAGCTTAGGGTCCATATTAACTCCCAAATCAACATAGTTTAAAACTTGCTCTAGAATATGGTGTTTTATTACATAAGAAGAGGGGTGCACAGATCTACGGGAAAAGCACATCGTCTTACATTTATTGAGATTCAATGGCAAATTATTTCTATCACACCATGCAACCAAATTGTTTAAGTCTGTTTGCAACAGACACCTTTCCTCAGTTGAAGTGTATGATTTAAAAAGCTTTACATCGTCAGAGTATAATAAAATTTTTGAGAATTCTATTACTGAAGAGATATCGTTAATAAACAACAAGAACAGAATCGGGCCAAGATCACTACCTTGCGGAACACCAGAAGAAACATTAATTGTATCTGAAGGTGTATCCTCAAATATCACTCGTTGTGTTCTATTATAAAGATAGGAAGATACCCATTGAAGGAATCTTGGCTGAAAGTCCAGCAGATCAAGTTTATGTATGAGAATCGAGATATTTACTTTATCGAAAGCTTTGCTAAAGTCTGTGTATATAACATCCGTATGCTTATGTTCCCTAAAACC